TATTTTGGCAAAACCTCTAAAATGTGGTTATTTTGTGGCAAAGGGTTGTGTAAACCGGTTATTTTTATAAATTTCCCTTATAATTAATCAAGTTAAAGGAAGTGAGATGATGGTTGTGAGGAATCCTATGCAGTGAGTTCATTTTGTTACCATAAATATATGTGGTAATCATGCACTTCCACATGCAAGATTCCCTCCAACAAACTTCCCCTTTCCATTTCTTTTATTTTCTACAAACAAACCCATACCCATACCCTTTTTTTATTATTTAATTTAATTTAATTACTCAGTTAGTAATAATTTTTTAAAATAAAAAATAGCAAAGCTTGTAAAAAGTAAGTGGCATGGACTTTTTGGTTTTGATCCATCCTCGAATTGACTTTGATCCAACCCTTTATATATCTCTTTTACATATTCATGCATATATACATATATTAATTAATTAGTTATGTGTATAAACGGTTGTTTACTAAACGCTTATTCGGGTAAGTGAACATCGAGTCACATTATCTTACTGGATGAATATGGTAAGGATCAAGAATTTTACCCAGTAAGAGCGAGACAAGGACTAAGAGTCTTACCCGAGTGAGGGCGACGACTCTTACCATGGTAAGATTTTACCGGGTAAATTGTTGTATATAATATTGTTTTGGTAGACTAAAATCTTACCCGATAAGTAAATGATAATGTTAAACTTTTACCGGATAAGTGTTTGGTAAACGGCCCCTATGTTGTATTGTTTGATTTTAATAATACTATAAGCGTACTCATGCAATGCATCGAGACACATTTCCATTTCAATGTTTCGTTTTATTTTTTTATCAATGTCGGTTTGTGAAAGCGTAATGTTTTTATTTTTGAATAAAATATAAATTTGAAAATATTATATAAAATTTGCAAACATTATATCAATATTAATATTAAATTAACTATTTAAAAGTTTTCGTTTGTATATTATTTTAATTCAAATCTTTTATTATAATTTAATTTAACCTAATTTAGGTTTAATAATATATTTTTTTTATAAATATAATAATTAAGTATTCTGTTAAAATTCAATAATTATTTTAATTATATTAAAAATGAGATGTTTATTCTCTATTTGATTATGTTTATTCGTAGTTTACACAAATTCAAATATAGAACTTTAATAAGTTGTATTTATGCATAATTTACTTGTAATCTTGAATTTTTAAGTAATATGCATTAATAAACATTATTTCATGCATAAAAAATGGTTTTTAAGAGTTTTTATCAAATACTTTATAATATAATATAGATAAACTTTTATTAAATTTTTATTAGTTTTTAAGTTTTAAGTAGAATGATTTATTATGTAATACACTAACAATTACAAATCATTATCTTTTAACGAGTAAAGTTCAATTTTGGTCTCTAACGTCTACGATTTTCAACAGATATTGTTCCTAAACTTTTAAAAACGCAGATTTGGTTCCTCAATTTCGTCAATTTTTAACAGGTTTTGTCTCTCCTGACGAACGTTCAACCTTTTATGTTGAATCTAGTTAAAGGAGGGCTATTTTGGTCATTTGTCCGTTTTCTCTCATTTTTTATGAAAATTTTAAAACCTATATAAGAAACAAAACATAGGCTTTGATTTCCATAAGGGTGCGTTTGGTGCGCAGACAGGACTGGACAGGACATGACAGGACAGGACGGGACAGGACAGGACAGGACAGGACAGCTGTTCAGCGTTTGGTAAGACAGGACAGGACAGGATAGAACTGGTTAAAATGACCAATTTACCC